TCGAATGATTTCGACATGCGGCGCGAGAGGCCCGCCCGCCTGGCCGAATATAATGGACACGTTGGAAACCTCCGGGTTCTTTTAAAGCTCGCAGGAGCTTGGGCGCAGATCTGCTTCGAAAACTGATGTTGCAAACCCGTGCGTTTCTACATGTTGTTCGGGACATTCGATTTTGAAACCCTTACGACACCTGAGGTGTTCGACAGAATTCCGCCTGCGCGCGCGACGGCGCGCGAGCGTGCACTTTGATTCTGGCGACAACAAGCGCGCAAGGGCGTTCGAACGATCACGACATGCGCGCGCGAACAACACTTTTGGTAGCAGTTGCTGAACATGTTGAGAAACCAATGGCTATCTGAATGATATGCAAGAACGCGAGCGTCGGTTTTCTTTGAGCATTCCTGTTGCGGTACAGTGTTTTATATGTGTTGTGTTGTTGTGTTCATGCTTATGTTGAAAATGTGTGTTCGGGTCACTCGATTTTGAAATCCTTACGATACGATGCCATATGTTCTTGAAATGAATCAGCATGCGCATGCGACGACGCTTGCACGTGCACGCCGTTTTTTTTTGTTTTGCAAAAATATGAGCATCAGAGATATTGTACGAACGGGTGCGCGCGCATGGCATTTTTTCGGATTAGGAGGGGCAATGGGCGATGGGGCAACATCGTATGTAAATGGCAATGCGAAAGGGGGGCCGTTAAGTTCGGAGGGGGGAGACTGGGGTAGTCTATATCTCTCTCAGGCAAGGGAATAGATGCGGTGCTCACTTTGTGGTGCAATATGTGCGGTGCAATTGATGTTGTGCAATCGGTCTGAGGCAGCGGCGAGGCGGCGACGGCGGCCACGAAGCCGCCAGAATGAAGACACAGCCCAGACGACGGGCGGCGACGAGGCGGCTACGTAGCCGCCAGACGGAAGACACGGCCCAGTTCCTTAGAACAGAAACGAGAAACCCCAAGTACACACTTTTCGGGAAATATACATATAACGGCGCACCGGGTCCGGGGGCCCGGGGCCGGGACCTCGACCACAAATGTGCACCCCGGGGGGCCCGGAGGCTCGTCGGGGCTTGCCGGAGGCCTCCCCAGTCAGACAAGACGGCCCAAGAAGCGCCCAAGACGGCCCATGAAACTTCCAAGAGGCCTCCAAGAGGGCTCCGAGATGCTGAAGATGGCCTCCAGACGTCCAAGGACGCCCCCAAGAGGCCCCAAGAAGCCTCCAACATGCGTCCCAAGAGGGCCCCTAGACGCAAAAAATTGCCCATTCCCTTCGTAAAACGTACATTTTCAACAAAGTCGCCTTTTTGGCTTTCCGACGTTACAGGTCGGCCCAAGAGGGCCCCAAGACCGCCCCAAGACGGCCCAAGAAGCTTCCAAGAGGGCCCCAGGACAGCCCAAGAGGGCCCCAAGACGGCCCAAGAGGCGCCCAAGATGGCCCAAGAGCGCCCCAAGACGGGCCCCAGCAGGTGGGGCCCCTCTATAGAGGACCCACTAAACCGCTAATGCTCACTTTTCCCCGCACAAGCTGTCCGCCAGGAGAATTCACAGGACGATGTAATGGAAAACGTGGACCGCCCAGACGTCCAAGGACTCCCCCAAGAGGCCCCAAGAAGCCTCCAACATGCGTCCCAAGAGGGCCCCTAGATGCAAAAATTGGCTCATTCCCCTCGTAAAACGTACATTTTCAACAAAGTTGTCTTTTGGGCTTTCCGACGTTACAGGACGGCCCAAGAGGCGCCCAAGACCGCCCCAAGACGGCCCAAGAAGCTTCCCAGAGGGCCCCAGGACAGCCCAAGAGGGCCCCAAGACGGCCCAAGAGGCGCCCAAGATGGCCCAAGAGGGCCCCAAGACGGGCCCAAGAGGGGGCCCAGAGGGGGACCACGATCCGCAAGCTCGAGCCTTCCGCCCCAAGAGGCCGCCAGGAGGCCCCCAGGAGGCCCCTCAAGAGGCCCCAGGAGACCCCCAAGAGGCCCAAAGGAGGCCCCGAGAAGCCCCAAATCGGCCCCCAACATGCTTCGAACCTGCTTCCAGGAGGCCCCCGACAGGTTCAGAGGCTCCCGAGAAGCTACGTCAAACTCCCAGCGAGCGGCCGGACGAGGCCCCCCAAAAAATCCCAAGAGGGTTCCAGTATTTGTATCTTTCAGCGCTCTCTGGCCTTCTTCCCTCTCTTTCTCTCTATCTTTCTCTCTCTTCCTTTCAGATTCCGTGTCCTTGCGACCTTCTGCAGTCCCCGACGTCGCCATGGCTGGATCCGCTGGAGCGTGTCTTGTGATGTGCGGCGGTGCGAAGCCCGTCCCGCTGATCAAGGCACAGGTACGACATGATGGGTCCATCATTTCTTGCCTTCCCATGTGCGTTTTCCCCATCGATTCCTGGGCCCGAGGTCGCAAAAATTACGACGTCGGAGGTCTGGGGAGGCGGGCAGCACGACCTGGACCTCCGACGTCTTGGAAAAATCACGACGGCGGTTTTTGTCAATTTTCGGCCTCCGGGGCCCCTCGCAGGGCCCCAGGACCGTCAGAAAACGACTCAGGATGAAAAAAAAAAACCATCCCTAGGAAGTCGTCGAGAGGTCCAGGGGCCGCGCACAGAAAACATCACGACATCGGACGTCCAGAGAGGAGGTAGGAACACGAGGAGGAGGGAGCCCAGAACTCCTGGCGACGCAACAACCAATACAAATGCTTTTTGGACGTTTTGGGCGGGGGCCGTTTCGTCGTGGTGGTGGTGCGGTTCGGGGCTTTCTTCGTTTCGGGGCCTTCCCCCGCCGCCGCAGATCGACGGTGACAATCCTAATTAGCTAGAACCTAAGCGCGCGCGAAGCGCGCGCGTGGTTCTAGTACACATATACGTAAGTATAGAAGCGGGAGGTGGACATGAGGTGAGGACAAGTTCTTTTGGTGGCTCCCTTGCTCTCGCATGCTCGCTGCCCGCCGGCAGGCGGCACACCCTGCAGTAGCGGGAACCCCGCTTGGTGAAGGACGAGGAGAGGAAGAGCAGGAGGGACAAAAGGGCAACGAAGAGGACGACGATGACATGACATCCTCGGCTTCCCCTCCAACCCCTGCCCCGATCCTCCTCACCGAAGCTAAAGACAGGGTAGAGGAGGAACACGAGAGAGACGCTGAGAAAGACGATAAGAACAAGGATTCCGCTGGTGCCTTTGCCTCCGCCATAGACAATACATTACTCTTTCCTCTTACCATTACCTTCTACCATTTTCCATTCACGCTCTGGACCTTGCCGTGTGCACGGCTTGACAGCAATCTTCGCCCGGCTTAAGGCCCTCTTGGGCCCCTCTTGGTTTTCTCGGGGGTCTCTTCGAGGCTGATGGCGCCTCTTGGGCTTCCTTGTGGCGTCTTCAAATGCCTGCAGCCGTTGTGTTCAGAATGCTGTGCTGTAGGCTTTCCAGAGCGTTCTCAGGACTTCTGACGTCCTGGCACATCTGTCTATGATCTTCCATGCCCACGTGTCCGCAATCTATGTGGTCGTGGTCCTACATCCTCTATCTCCATCATCTGGGGGGCTGAGATGGCGGCTCGAGGGCGCCTCCAGGGCTTCCTTGTCATGTCGTCGACTGCCTGAAATAATTTTCTTCAGAATGCTGTGGCGGAGGCCCTCGGGGACTTTCTGGGGAATTCTGATGTTCTGACACATCTGCATCTGCCCTTCCACTGTCGAGTTTGCTCACACGTGCTCAACGTATGTGATGCTCGACCCTCCTCCACCCTCGAGCTGTCTTCGGGCTCTGGACCGTGCCGTCTGGGGGCCTGCTTGAGAGTTTTCTTGGGCTGGCTTGGTGCCATATTGGGCACCTCTTGGTTTGTGGTGTCTTCAGGTGCCTGGTGTTCCAGAGGAAACGTTCTGGACATTTCTGAGGGCTCTTGCATTGCCTGTGGTGGCCCTCCTGAGCGACTTCTCGGGCCAGCTTGGGGCCCCCTTGAGGCCTTCTGATCTCCCTTGGGGGTCTCTTGGGGGCTGTGGTGGCGGTTCGAGTTGCCAGTGAGCCTTCTTTGAATGCTTCCAGATGTGTGTAGCAACTGTATTCATAATGTTCTGGCACAGGCTTTCTGGCAAATTCTGGAGACTTCTGATGTCTTGGCAGACAAATATATGCTCTTCCATTGCCCTTCGTGCCCGCACTTGAGTGCAACTATGTGATCCTTCATCATCCTGCATCCTCGCGCTGCCGTCGAGTTCTTTCGGAACGTTCTGGATGCCTAGTGGGACTTGTTAGAGGCCGTTTAGAAAACTCGCCTGGGCGTCTTGGGGCCCCCTGAAGCAATCTTCCAGGCGTCTAGATTATCCCGGGATCTCCTTGGGCGGTCTTGGGGCTATCGGGAGCCCATGGTGGTGGACCATGGATCCCTCGTGGGCTTTATTGCACCTCCCTGGAAGACCTTTAGCGGCGTCTTCGGACCCTCGCGCGGCCCACCTTGGGCCCCTCTTGGGGCCCTTTTGGGGTGATCTTATGGACTTCTTGAGTCGTCGTGGATGCTCACAAGACTGAAATGGTTATGAACGATCTCCTGGGGACCATCTCGTCAAGCTGTTGGACACTCTTCGGGTTATCTTGGGGGCTCTCCTGGCCGTCTTGGAGGCATCGCAGGGCTCCGCCTTACAGAAATACCGAAAATCCGTCGTCTCAGGAAATCCTGGGGGAATTCAGAGAGCACCGCAGTCCCCGGACCCCCCATGGGTGGTTAGGCGCCATGTCTCTGGGTCCCCGAGACCCGTCGCCAGATGTGGGTGCACTGTGTCTACTGAGAGAGAGGGCCAGATATAGAGAGAGGGCCCTATATATAGAGAGAGAGGAGCCTGAAATGATGAGGATACATGTGAAGAGCGGAAGAAGCGGGTGAGGGATGGGGAAAACGAGGAAACGGAGGAGGCGGCGGCTTGGGGAGCCAGAGAGGCGAAACTAACGAGGCATCACCAAGAAAAAACTCGGAGGCTTCCATCAGCAGCGCCCCGCTCAGCTGCGCCGCGAGCTCGCTCAGCTTGCGCGCCCCTGCGCGAGGAGGGTCAGCTGGAGAGGACAGACGCGGCGGGCGGCGGCTGCTTGAGAGAGGCTGCGCAGGCGCGGCAAGCACAGGGGCTGATCCAGGGCAGTCGGATGGGGCCGGGCTGCAACAAGGTCGGCACGGCAGACCAGTTGGCAGAAGGACGGGAGGCAACGCGACGAGGGCGACGTCCTCGCCGTTCTGGACGACGCGTAACTCGACCAAGCGACTGGAAAAAAAACACATTGGGCAAGGACAGCTGCAACGCAGTAAAACGTATTTCTCGTTTGGGTCTCTGGCTGCGGACTGGCGGCCTGGACGACGACGACGACGGACCCGAAATATTTGTTCAGTCGTCCTCTGCCCAGCGGGGCGCTGCGGCCCCCCCCCCCGGGCATTTCTTCATCGTTTGGTCGCATTGCTTAATCATACACGAGGGGCGCCACGAGGCTCCCAACATCACCCTAACAGCCGACGAGGCCTCCAAGAGGGCACCAAAACAGACCAAGAGGGCCCTAAGATAGCCCAACAGACCTCCAAGACGGCCCAAGGGGGCCCCAAGACTGCTCCAAGATGGGGCCCAGACGGGGGGCCCGAACGGACATGTCGAGCCCTTGGTCCCGAGAGGCCCCCAAAGGCCCAAAGATGCCCCCAAGAAGCCCCCCAAGAGGCCCCAAGAGGCCCCCAAGAGGCCCCAAGGAAACCCCAAGAGGCCACCAAACAGCTCCCAAGATGTCCTCCAGAGGCCCTCCATAGGCTTCCAAGAGGCCCCCAAACGGCCCCAGAGAACCCCGAAAGCGCTCTGAAGAGACCCCAAGAAACATCCCTGAGGACTCTGACCCACAACCCATGCACGGTGGCGGGATGGGCCGAAGACCATTCGACCCGCCGCCCCCTTTCGATTCATCGCAGGGGTGCCTGGCGTGCTGGACCCTTTCGGTTTTGGTTGTGGTTCTTTTTCCGAAAGAACTCCCCCTGGCGCTTCGGCCCGTCCCGCCGGGGTCCCGGGAGGATTGCCCAGGACCCCAACGTCCACAAAAAATCCTCCAAGACGGCTCAAGATGGCGTCCAAGATGGTTCAAACTTGGCCTGCAAGTCCGACAAAGATGGTCCAGGATGGCCTCCAAGTCCGCCCAAGATGGTCCAAGACGGCTTCCAAGACGGCCCAAGAGAGGCCAAGACGGCCCAAGAGAGGCCAAGACGGCCCAAGAGGCCCCCCAGAGGCCTCCAAGACGGCCCCAGAGGCCTCCAAGAGGTCCTCCAGGAGGGCCCGAAGATGCCAAAATCATTGATTTTCCTTAGGTCTCGAAGGATTTTGGCATTCGCTTCTTCACGGCTTTCCGACGACCCAAGACGGCCCAAGAGGCCCCCAAGGTCGCCCCCACAGCACCCAAGAGGCCTCCAAGATGGCCTCAGGACTGCCCAAGAGGCCCCCAAGACGGCCCCAAGTTGACCCAAGGCTTTCTAAACCGATTCGGGGAACACATGGTCCGATAACTTGGCAGGTCTGGCCTCATCGTTCGGCCACATAGGCGCTTCCAAAAGGCAGCGGGCGGCGGTGATTCGCCGTAGGCGTCTTCGATCTGCCGCCCCCTTTTGATTTATCAAAGGGGTGCCTGGCGTGCCAGACTATATGGCTTTTGGTTTTGGTTCTTTTTCCAAAAGAACTCCCCCTGGGGCTTCGGCCCGTCCTGCCGGCCACTCGAAGACCCGGTTGCCAACGGTTGTCCTGCCCCAGACGGCCCCAAGATGGCCTCCAAGACGGCCAAGATGCCTCCAAGACGGGCCAAGATGGCCTCCAATACGGCTCAAATGGCCCCAAGATGCCTCCAAGACGGCCCAAGATGTATCCTAGACGGCCAAAGATAGCCTGAAGATGGCCCAAGACGGCCCAAGAGGCCCGCAAGAGGCCTCCAAGACGGCCCAAGAGGCCTCCAAGAGGTCCTTTAGGAAGGCCCGAAGAGGCAAAATCTTTGATTTTCCTTCGGTGTTTGAAGGATTCTGGCATTTCCGCCTTTTCGGCTTTCCGACGACCCGGCCCCAGACGGCCCAAGAGACCCCCAAGATCGCCCAAGAGGCCTCCAAGATGGCCCCGTGACGGCCAAAGAGGCCCCAAGACGGCCCCAAGAGGGCCCCAAGACGGCCCAAGAGGCCTCCAAGGCGACCAAGATGGCCTCCAAGGCGGCCAAGATGGCCTCCAAGATGCCTTCAAGACGGCCAAGATGGCCTCCAAGACGGCCAAGATGGCCCCAAGATTCCTCCAAGACGGCCCAAGATGGCCTTAATATGGTCTAAGACGGCCCAAAAGGTCTGCAAGAGGCCTCCGAGACGGCCTAAGAGGCCTCCAAGAGGTCCTCCAGGAAGTTACGACGAGGCCCAAATCATTGATTTTCCTTCGGTGTTTGAAGGATTCTGGCATTTCCGCCTTTTCGGCTTTCCGACGGCCCAAGACGGCCCAAGAGGCCCCAAGGTCGCCCCAAGATCGCCCAAGAGGCATCCAAAATGGCTCCGTGACGGCCCAAGAGGCCCCTCAAGACGGCCCCAAGAGGGCCCGAAGACGGCCCAAGAGGCCTCCAAGACACCCAAGATGGCCTCTAAGACGGCCCTGGAGCACCCCAAGAGGGCCCCAAGTCGGCCCAGAAAGGCCCCCCAAGTAGCTTCCGACGGGGTCAGACGAGCCAGGAGCCCACCAAGATGGCCGAAGGTGGCTCGCAGCTGGCCCAAGACGGCCCAAGAGGCCTCCAAGAGGGCCTCCAGGAAGGCCAGAACAAACCAAAAAGAGTTATGTTCCTTAGGTTTGAAGTATTTTGACATTTGCTTCGTTTCGGCCTTCCAACGGCCCGATACGGCCCAAGAGCCCCGGAAGATCGCCCAATGATCGCCCAAGAGGCCTCCAAGATGGCCCAGAACGGCCCAAGAGGCGCCCAAGACGGCACCAAGAGGCCACCAAGACGGCCGAAGAGGCCTCCAAGACGCTCAAGATGGCCTCCAAGACTGCCTACGAGCCCTCCAAGAAGGCCCGAAAGTGTCAAAATGGCCTCCATGCGGCCAAGATGACCTTCGAGATGCCCACGTGTTCCCCGAAGGCTTTCCAAACCGATTCGGGGAACACATGGTCCGATAGCTTGGCAGGTCTGGCCTCAACGTTCGACCACATAGGCGCTTCTACAAAGGCAGGGGGCGGCGGTGATTCGCCGTAGGCGTCTTCGATCCGCCTCCCCTTGCGCTTGTCACAGGGGTGCCCAGCGTGCTGGATCCTTTCGGTTTGGGTCCTTTCAGAACTCCCCCTGGGGCTTCGGCCCGTCCCGCCGGCCACCCGAAATGGCAGTACAAGGCCGCGTAAACCACCTGAACGACTGGAAACAATTCTCCAAGACGGCTCACAATGGCCTCTAAGATGGTCACGTTGGCCCAAGATGGCCTCCAAGATGGCCTCCAAATCGCCAGAGATGATCCAAGATGACCTCCAAGACGGCCCGAGAGAGTCCAAGCTGCCTTCAAGTTCGTCCAAGAAGCCTCCAGGACGGCCCAAGATGGCTCCAAGATGGCCTCAGACTGGCGAAGAGGCCCCCAAGAGCCTCCAAGACGCCCTCCAGGAAGGCCCGAAAGGGCAACACATTAATTTCTCTAGGTGTTTGAAGGATTGTTGCATTTACTTCTTATCAGCTCTCCGACGGCACAAGACGGCCCAAAAGGCCCCAAACATTGTCCCAAGAGCGCCCAAGAAGCCTCCAAGATGGTCTCATGACAGCCCAAGAGGCCCCCAAGAAGAGCCCAAGACGGCCCCGAAGACACCGAAGATGGCCTCCAAGATGCCTCCAAGACGGCCAAGAAGGTCTCCAGGCTCAACGATGCACCCAAGACGGCCCCAGATGGCCTCAAGATGGCTTTAGACTGCCCCAAAGGCTCGCAAGAGGCCTCCAAGACGGCCCAAAAGACCTCCAAGACGTCCTCCAGGAAGGCCCGAAAGGACGGCCAAGATGACCTTCAAGATGCCTCCAAGACGGCCAAGATGGCCTCCAAGACGGCGATGATGGTCCCAACATGCACCCAGAACTGCCCAAAATGGCCTCAAGATGGCCTCAGACGGCCAGCAAGTCCCAAGACGCCTCCAAAAGCTCACAAGAACCCCCAAGGGTCCCCGAACACGCCCATTCTTCACTCTCCTCCCCTTCCCCATCCTCCCCCACGTGTTCCCCGAAGGCTTTCCAAACCGACTCGGGGAACACATGGTCCGATAGAGCGCGCTTCTTTATGCTCGGCGATGACGGGCGTCATGGGGGGGGGAGAGCGGGGGGGGTGTGACGTGACGCCCCCCCCGCCGTGTGTTCCGGCACCACAGCCGCGCCCGCGCGCACGACGCGACGAGCGACGAGCGACGACGACGACGCGAGCAGCATGCAGGTGGCGATCTGCCCACTGCGCCTGTGTACACCACAACGCTCGCGTGCACCGCACCGCGCGTGTGCACCACAGCGCCTGCATACACCGCAACAGCCGTGTGCAACGCACCGCCTGTGTAGGGAGCACTACAGCGCTGGTGTACATACATCGCAGCAGCCATGTGCAACACAGCGCCTGTGTACACCACAGTGCTTGCGTGCACCGCAGCGCCTGTGCACGCCACAGCGCCTGTCTACACCACAGCATCCGCGTGCAACGCAGCGCTGATGTACACCATAATGCCTGCGTGCATAGGACAGGTAGAAGGAGCATGTACGTGAGGATCTGCTGCGGACAACGAAACGCCACGCCAGGAAAGTTTTGATAATCGAATGCGACGTGTTTCCCTCCTCCCTCCTCCTCCACCTCCTCCTCCTCCTCCTTCTTCTCCTCCTTCTCCTCCTTCTTACCCCTGTCGAGCGGCTTGGCGTTACAACGCACGTGCGCATCTCAGCGTGCACCGCAGAGGGGTCGATTGAATCGGTCCACTTGGTTCTCGGACGGCCAATTTACCTGGAGCCTCCTGGACGCAAATGGGAACTAGGGTGATGCGGGCGGACTCGGGGGGACTCGTAGGTTCCAGCGAAGCTCCTTTGTCCAGAAGGATTTGTTTTCCATTGTTTTCTCTGGAATCCACAAGCGCTCCATTTTGTCACAAGGATTCCTTCTAATATTCTATACACAACAATGGTGCTGTGTTGCGCACGGCTGATGTGGTGTACGGAGGCGCTGTGGTGTACACAGGAGCTGCTGTGCCCGCAGGCACGGTGGCACAAACTGACGCTGTGTTGCACGCGGCTGCTGTGGTGTACATAGGCGGTGTGGTGTACACAGGCGCTGTGGTGCACGCGGGCACCGTGATGTACGCACGCGTTGTGGTGCAGATCGCCACCTACATGTTCGTGCTACCCGTCCTGCGTCATTCCTCAGCATTCCCAGACGCCGCCGGCGCGAAACGTGACGTCATCGACCCCCCCTCCCCCCCCCCGAATGATTGCTGTCATCGGCCCGGACTCAAAAACAGGCTCCAGCCGCGTCCGCGCGCACGACGACGATGAGCGACGAGCGACGAACCACGAGCGACGACGACGGACGACGACGACGACGACGACGACCACCACCACCACGACGACTGCGGACAAGACACCTATGCGGACTCCTGCGCGGACACCTACGCGGATCCCAATGCGCACGGCAGCAGTGCCTGGAGCGCACTGGGGGGGGGAGCGTTACGTCACAGGGGGGGGGGAGCGGAGGCCACGACGCCCGTCATGCCCCAAGCAAGAAAGAAACGGGCTCATAGCTTGGCAGGGCTCTGGCCGTAACGTTCGGCCACATGGGCGCTTCCGAAAGGGCAGGGGGCGGCGGTGACTCGCCGTAGGCGCCTTCGATCCGCCACCCCCTGTTGATTTATAACTGTTTTTCGATTTGGCCCTTTTCCTAAAGAACTTTCCTTGGGCTTCGGCGCTTGCCGCCGGCCGCCCGAAGGCCGCCCGATCCGCAGGAAAAAAAACCGAATCGCTTCCAAGACAATCAAGATGGCCCAAGATGGCCTCAAAGTTCGCCCAAGATGGTCCAAGATGGCCTCCAAAAATGCCCAAGAGGGTCCAAGATGCGTCCAAGCCTGCTCAAGAAGCCACCAAAACGGTCCAAGCTGGCCTCACGACTGTCTAAGATGGCTCCAAGACAGCCCAAGAGGCCTCCAAAAGGGTATGCAGGAAGGCCTGAAGAGGCAAACATCATCGATATTTCTTGTGTTGTTGAAGGGTGTTTGTATTGGCTACGTTTCGGCTTTCCCACGGCCAACGGCCCGGGACGGCCCAATAGGCCCCCAAGATCGCCCCAAGTTCGCCCAAGCAGCCTTCAAGATGGCCCTATGACGGCCCCAGAGGCCCCCAAGACGGCCCCAAGGCGGCCCAAGAGGCCTCCAAGACGCCCAAGATGGCCTCCAAGACGGCCATGAAGCACCCCAAGAGGGCTCTAGGTCGGTTCAGGGAGGCCCTCAAGACGGCTCCCGACGGCGTCAGATGGGCCAGGAACACCCTAAGACAGCCAACGAGGCCCCCAAGAAGGCCTTAATGGTCCTACTCCTCTTCTCCCTCCTCCTCCTCCTCCTCCTCCTCCTCCTGTTCCTTCTCCTGATCCTTCCTCTCATCCTCCCCCAGGTGTTCCCCCCAAGAGTTTCCAGAGCGGACGGGGGAGCACATAGTCCGATAGCTTGGCCAAGCTGGGGCCAAACTTTTCGCCACAGAGGCGCTTCCCAAAAGGCAGGGGGAAGCGGTGATTCGTCGTAGGCGTCTTCGATAGTTAAACTAGGAAGGAGGACCAGGACGACGAGAAGATGAGGAACAGGACGACGACAACGACGACGACGACGACGACGGAGGAAGGGGAAGAGACGAGGGAGGAACGAGAAGGATGAGGAGCAGGAGGGAGCAGGGAGAAGGGAGCAAACCCATATGTTGTGATCAGTCATTACTTGCGCTGTGCTTAGCTATCCATGGCAGGTCCTTGCAGACCCATAGCATGGCGCATGCCCTGAAACAGCAGATCCTTAACACTTACGGATATGCTATGTAAGCTGTCCCTAATCAGTCCTAGGCTTAGGTCGGGCGTGTCCCCCTGCAGGCGGATTTGGAAGGACGAATGAAACAATACCTAAAACATGCCCCCAAACAGCAGAAACAAAACATAAAATCGTCCCCAGACTATTGTTTGACTATTTGTGAATGTTCCTCCTGTAGAGGGACAGGCCCGACTTAATTCCAGGCCCTACCCGTTCCCAGACGGCGCCTGCGCGAATCGTGACGCGACCGCCCCCCATCCCCGCCCCCGTTCCGGTCACGCCTGTCATCGCCAACCAAGAGTCCCCATTGCCCAGTAGGATCCCGTCATGGCCAAAGAGGCCTCCAAGATGGCCCCAACCTGGCTGAAGAGGACCTCTGGAGGGAGCCACGACGGCCTCAGAGGGCCCCTCGATGGCAAAGACGGCGCCCAAATGGCCCCACGACGGCCACAAGACGACCTCCATACGACCAAGAGAACCCCAAGACGGCCCGTGAGGGCCGAACGACGACCCAAAGGGCCCCAAGAAGGCCACATGGATCCCCCAAGGCTGCCCCACAGGAGACCAAGACGGCCCCAAGATAACACACATGAGCTGCATGAGAACTCCTCAACAAGTGAAGACGAAAAGAATCACATGTGACGAAATTCCTCTTCCGCCTCCTACAGCTCATCCTTCTACTCGTCAGCAGCATCGCCCTGACCATCCTCATCATCCTCCCCACGGCTCTCCCAAGCTTGCGAGGTGTAACACGTGACGGCTTGCCGTGCTCCCCTCAAACAGTCGCCACCCAGAATGCTGGGCTGGCACGGTGACGGGACTTGCCGCAGGCAATTGGAATACCATAGCATGAGCGCAAGACGACCCTTCGCCCATCGGTGTGGGGTGGTGTCGGGCGTTGGCAGAACTGGGTTTAATGGAACCTGGTTTAATGATGTGTACTGGGGGGCGACCCCCCCCGCCCCGTTCCACTAACCGGAATTGCTGTCACCCGAGAAAGCACCAACTACAACAGACCTGGATTAGTGATTCTGGCACGCTCAGGGGCTCCGGGGCCCTACTACTGACGGGGTCCCCTTATCTTGGGGTCCTGGCTGTACCCCATGGTGGCGCGCACGTGTACGTGACGGTGCCGCGCCGCAACGGCCTCGAGGGCCCACCGCCTCCCCGCCCTGCACGAGACCGCCTCGTCCTTTCGTGTCCCGTGCTGCGACCACGACGAGATCGGCCCGCAATCCCCTGCATGCCACTCCCACGGCTCCAACACTCAGCCCACGGTGGCCAGCGGCAGCCAGAATCCCTGACACCCAGGAGCGAGAAGATTGGGGAAAACATTGCGGCCGCACGACTGTGTGTGTGCGAGGCTCAAAGAAAAAGGCGGGGCTGGGCGAGACGAAGCGTAAGAACTGCGCTATCGGAATGTACCCCGACCTGAGCAAGGCCGCTTCTGGAAGAACGATTGATTACGAGGAAGATTACGAGGGAGCGGATGGGTGAAGGATAAGAGGATGAAGAGAGGCGAAGAGAACCAGTGCCACTAGAACCCCTCAAGACCTTCCAGAACTTCCGCGCAATCGAAATGAGCATCGACATACATTTTTAAAGTCTCGGAGCCCCGCGCAAACGTCTTGGATCGGCGCTGCAGCCTCCCTCCTGGCGCGCGGAGTGCGCCAGGGGCGGCGCCAGAGGCGCTGCCACTGGGGTCCAGCCCAAATTCAAGGGATCCGCCGCGGTGCTCGGAACATTGATGGTTATGCTGCTGATTATTGTTCTTCTCCTTCTTCTTCTTCTTCGACTTCCAAATCCTCCTGCCCGGGGCTCCTCGATCATCTTGCCCTGCCGGCGGATCGCGCCCTGCTGCTCCAGAGAATTCAGCACCGACCTTAGCTCCGCGTCGCTGGCCAGCTGCTCCTCGGCGCGGGGTCTTCTCACGCCTCTCGATGACAGAGGGCGAGAGGGGATGAGGGAGGGGGACCTCCTCCTCCATTTCCCAGTCGTCCTCCCCCGCCCTCCTCCGCTTCTCCCATCCTCCGCTCTCGTCCCCGTTCGACCTGCCCCATTCCCCCTCTCCCTCGCCCTCACCGTCCCTCCTTCTCCTCCTCCTCCTCCTCCTTCTCCTCCTCCTCCTCCTTGTCGTCGTCGTCCTCCTCCTCCCATGCTCCCGCTGCGCGGTCGCAAGGCCCGTCCTTCCGCTCCCCGAGCTTCTCGTTCAGGGCCACCTTCACCTGCTCCTGGCCGAGCTGCCTGTCGCCGGCCTCGCTGACGATGTCCTGGGCGCGCGGGGGGCGAGTGAACGAACCCCTTCGCGCTGCGAATCCGAGGCGACAAGCGAAACACGAGGTGGCCTTTCATGTCGATCCCTGTTCCCCGGGCCACTGCCCAGCACGAAACTTGTCGAGATACCTTCGATGGGTTGCGTTCAGAAATTGCACACATGGCTCAGGGCACGAGGAGAGGAGGGCGCAGGAGGGAGGGAAGGGTAGAGGAAGAGGAAGAAGATGGGATGGAGATGGGGAGGGAGGGATGAATGTGGTCGGGATGGGGAGGGAGAGGGAGATATGAAAGAGGCAAGGATGGGGAGGGATAGAGGAAGGAGAGGGCGAGAGGAGGAACAGCATCAGCAGGAGGGTGAGAGGAGACGGATGAGGGGAGGATAGATAGTTGGAAGGACAATGATGGAGATGAGCGGGGAGATGGGGAAGAGGAGGGAGATGGGGTGGTGGGAGAATGAGGAAGGCGGACGAGGACGAGAGTGAAGGGTTATCAGGGGAGGGAGAGATGGCGCGGCAACTATCATGGCATTGTGGATGGAGGAGGGTGCGATGAAGAAGATGAGGGACGATGCCCCTTTCAAGAATCTCCCCCTCCCGCTCTTCCTCCCTCCTTCTCCTGATGAGGAGGATCGGCCACCGTGCCTCTGAGCACGGAGTGGGCGTGTCCTCAGGTCCTCTGCCTCATCCCCAGAGCCTCAGTCCTCACTCCTCAGGAGTCTCTTAGGGGCCTGGAACCCAAATTGCCAAATCTCCTGGGCCTCCCGCGGTTCCCCTGGGCTCCCCCGAGTCTCCCCGCATGACTCGTTTTGGCCCAAGAAGGGGCCCAGAAGGCTCCAAGAGGCCTCCAGGACGATCCCAGACCACCTCGAGTCGTGGAAAGACGCTTTCTAACGGATTTTCGTTTTCCCGCCTTGTCGGCTTTCCCCCGCTCCAAGACGTCCCCAGACGATCCCAACACAGCCCCAAGACGGCCCAAGGGGCCCCCAAAAGAGCCCGAAGACGGCCCAAGAGGGCCCCAAGGCAAGCCAAGAAGCGGCCAAAACGGCTGAACAGGGCCCAACGGTGGCCCCCAAAGAGGGAACACAAGCTGAAAATCCTAGCCTTCCGCCCCAAGAAGCCCCCAGGAAGCCCCACTCCAAGAGGCCCCCAGCAGGCCCCCAAGAGGCCCCAAGATGCACCCCAAGAGGCCCAAAAGAGGCCCCAAGAAGTTCCCAAGAGGCGTCCAAACTGCCTCCAAGAGGCTCCCGACAAGCCTCCCACGAGATCCCAACGAACATCCAATAAGCTTCATACCCACGAGGCATGGTGGCGGGATGGGCCGAAGGCCATTGGACCTGCTTGGCACGGGGACGGAAAGCGCACTTACTTTCAGAGCGCACGAGATCGCTGGCTCGTCCGCTCTGACACCTCTGATTGACTCCCTTCCCCTCGCTCTTGTCCTATCTCAGCCTCGGAGAGTCGCGGAACTTTCTTTGAGCGCGTTTCTTGTTTTGGAGGGGCGGTCGGGTCGCGTTGCGTTTTCCGCGTTTGGGCTGCCAGCTTTCCAGCACCCCGCGTTTTCCTTGCGTGGACCGCTCGTTGTCCACGCGTTGCCGCCCGTCCCTGTGCCCTGGCGTCAAGAACTTATTACGCCGCAGCTCTCTATTGGGAGCTGTGGTCTTATCAGCTCGATTACGTCACCGCTCGCTCTTGGGAGCCGCGGCGCTAAGAGCCTTTGGGAGTATTTGGGGCCTCTTGGGGGGCTCTTGGGGAGCCTCTTGGGTGCCTATTGGGGACCTTTTGGGGCTTCTCGGGGCCTCCTGGGAGCTTCTGGGCTGCGGGGGTGAAGGGAGTAGGCTGCCTTTGGCCGTCTTTGGGCTCTCTTGGGGGCCTCTTGGGGCCTTCTTGGGGCCGTCCTGGGGCCGTCTTGGGCCGTCTTGGCGCCTCTTGGGCCGTCTTGGCACTCTCTTGGCCTATTTTGGGGGCCTCTTGGGAACATCTTGGGCCGTCTTGGGGCGGTCTTGGGGGCCTCTTGGACCGTCTTCAAAGCAATGAAAAGGCGAAAAGCCGTATATGCTAAAACAGCACGTTTTCCATCAGAAAATCAATGATTTTGGCCTCGTGGGGCCCTCTTGGGACGCCTCGTGGGCGCCTCCTGGGGCGTCGTGGAGGCCCCTTGGGATGTCTTGAGGCCGCCTTGGGCGGTCTTGGACTCTCTTGGAGCGCTCTTGGGCCGTCTTGGGCGCGTCTTGGGCCGTCTTGGGCCGTCTTGGGCGCCGTCTTGGCCGCTTCTTGGGCTGTCTTAGGCGCCCAAGACGGCCCAAGAAGCGCCCAAGAAGCGTTTTCCGAGGATGTCTCGAGCGAAACGCTGTTTTTAAGCCCCGAAGGCCGTCCTACTCAATAAAAAAACGAGGATTTCTTCCGACGAACGGACCGCACGCTAACGCGCGCTTTCCGTCATCCGCCGCCCCCTGTCGATTCATCGCATGGGTGCCTGGCGTGCTGGATCCTTTCGGTTTTGGTTTTGGTTCTTTTTTTCAAAGGAACTCCCCCGGGGCTTCGTCCCGTCCCGCCGGGGTCCCGGGAGGCTCTTCCAGGACTGCAACGTCCACAAAAAATCCTCCAAGACGGCTCAAGATGTCCTCCAAGATGGCCACGTTGGCCCAAGATGGTCTCCAAGACGTCTCCAAGACAGCCCAATATGGCCTCCAAGACGGCTAAGACGGCCCCAAGATGCCTCCAAGACGGCCCAAGATGTACCCAAGACGGCCTCAGATAGCCCAACAGGCCCGCAAGAGGCCTCCAAGACGGCCCTCCAAGACGTCCTCCAGGAAGGCCTGAAAGGGCCAACATCATTGATGTTCCTTAGGTGTTTGAAGGATTTTGGCATTTGCGCCGTTTCGGCTTTCCGACGACGGCCCAAGACGGCCCAAGAGGCCCCCAAGATCGCCGACGGCCCAAGTGGCCTCCAAGACGGCCTCAAAAGGGCCCCAAGACGGCCCAAGAGGCCTCCAACACGCCCAAGATAGCCTCCAAGACGCCCAAGATGGCCTCCCAGACTGCCCCGAAGAGCCCCAAGAGGGCCCCAAGTCGGCCCAGAAAAGGCCCCCTAAGACGGCTCCCGACGGCGTCAGACGTGCCAGGAACCCGCCAAGATGGCCGAAGTTGGCTCGAAGCTGGCCCAAGACGGCCCAAGACGCCCCCAAGAGGGCCTCCAGGAAGGCCAGACGAGGCCCAAAACCTTGATGTCCCTAAGGGTTTTGACGGATTTTGACATTTGCTTCTTTTCGGCCTTCCGACAGCCCGAGACGGCCCAAGAGCCCCCGAAGATCGCCGAAAGATCGACCCCAGAACGGCCCAAGAAGGCCCCAAGACGGTCCCAAGAGGCCCCCAAGACGGCACAGGAGGCCTTTAAGACGCCCAAGATGGGCCTGCAAGACGGCCCTGGAGCATTCCAAGAAGGCCCCAAGTCGGCCATAGGGGCCCCCCAAACGGCTTCCGACGGCGTCAGACGGACCAGGAGCCCACCAAGACGGCCGAACATGGCCCTAAGATGGCCCAAGAGGCCTCCAAGAGGGCTTCCAGGAAGGCCCGAAAAGGCCAAAATCATTGATTTCCCGATGGAATTGTTGAAAGATTGTGGCATTAGCTTTTTTTCTGCCTTCCGAAGGCCCGAGACGGCCGAAGTGCCCCCAAAGATCGCCCAAGACACGGCCCCAAGAGGCCCCCAAGACGGCCCAAGAGGTCTCCAAGACGCTCAAGATGGCCTCCAAGACGGCCCAAGAGCCCTCCAAGACGTCCTCCAGGAAGGCCCGAAAGGGTCAAAATGGCCTCCAGACTACCAAAATGACGTTCAAGATGCCCACGTGTTCCCCGAAGGCTTCCCAAACCGGTTGGGGAAACACATGGTCCGATAGCTTAGCAGGTCTAGCCTCAACGTCCCGCCGGCCACCCGGAAAGGATCTCAAAACGCGTCCGTCGTGCCTCTGTTTCCTCCAGTTGGCCCAAGATGGCGTCCAAGACAGCCAAGATGGCCCAGGATGGTCTCCAAGACGTCTCCAAGACGGCCCAAGATGGCCTCCAAGACGGCTGAGATGGCCCCAAGATGCCTCTAAGACGGCCCAAGATGGCGTCCAACACGGCCAAGATGGCTCAGCAGGTCCGCAAGAGGCCTCCAAGACGGCCCAAGAGTCCTCCAAGTCGTCCTCCAGGAAGGCCTGAAAGGGCCAAAATCATTGATTTGTTCCTAGGTGTTTGAAGGATTTTGGCATTTGCGCATTTTCGGCTTTCCGACGGCCCAAGACGGCCCAAGAGGCCCCCAAAATCGCCCAAGGGGCCCCTCAAAGGGCCCCATGACAACCCAATTGGCCTCCAAGACGGCCCCAAGAGGGCCCCAAGATGGCCCAAGAGGCCTCCAGCACGCCCAAGATGGCCTCCAAGACGCCCAAGATGGCCTGCAAGACGGCCCCGAAGCGCCCTAAGAGGGCCCCAAGTCGGCCCAGAAAGGCCCCCAAGACGGCTCCCGACGGCGTCAGACGTGCCAGGAACCCACCAAGATTGCAGAAGTTGGCTCGAAGCTGGCCCAAGACGGCCCAAGACGCCCCCAAGAGGGCCTCCAGGAAGGCCAGACGAGGCCCAAAACCTTGATTTTCCTAATGGCTTCGACGGATTTTGACATTTGCTTCTTTTCGGCCTTCCGACGGCCCGAGACGGCCCAAGAGCCCCCGAAGATCGCCGAAAGATCGACCCCAGAACGGCCCAAGAAGGCCCCAAGACGGTCCCAAGAGGCCCCCAAGACGGCACAGGAGGCCTCTAAGACGCCCAAAATGGGCCTCCAAGACGGCCCTGGAGCATTCCAAGAGGGCCCCGAGTCGGCCCATAGAGGCACCCCAAAGGGCTTCCGACGGCGTCAGACGGACCAGGAGCCCGCCAAGACGGCCGAACATGGCCCTAAGATGGCCCAAGACGCCTCCAAGAGGGCCTCCAGGAAGGCCCGAAAAGGTCCAAATCATTGATTCCCCATGGGTTTTAAGGATTGTGGCGTTTGCTTTATTTTCTGCCTTCCGACGGCCCGAGACGGCCGAAGTGCCCCCAAAGATCGCCCAAGAGGCCCAAGACACGGCCCCAAGAGGCCCCCAAGACGGCCCAAGAGGTCTCCAAGACGCTCAAGATGGCCTCCAAGACGGCCCCAAGAGCCCTCCAAGACGTCCTCCAGGAAGGCCCGAAAGAGTCAAAATGGCCTCCAGACGGCCAAGATGACCTTCGAGATGCCCACGTGTTCCCCAAAGGCTTTCCAAACCGATTCGGGGAACACATGGTCCGATAACTTGGCAGGTCTAGCCTCAACGTTCGGCCACACAGGCGCTACCAAAAAAGCAGGGGGCGGCGGTGATTCGCCGAAGGCGTCTTCGATACGCCGCCCCCTTATGATTTATCAAAGGGGTGCCTGGCGTGCCGGATGATATGGCTTTTGGTTTTGGTTCTTTTTCCCACAGAACTCCCCCTGGCGCTTCGGCCCGTCCCGCCGGCCACCCGGAAAGGATCTCAAAACGCGTCCGTCGTGCATCTGTTTCCTCCAGTTGGCCCAAGATGGCGTCCAAGACGGCCAAGATGGCCCAGGATGGTCTCCAAGACGTCTCCAAGACGGCCCAAGATGGCCTCCAAGACGGCTAAGATGGCCCCAAGATGCCTCCAAGAGGGCCCACAATGGCCTCAAGATGGCCTACGACGGCACAAGAGGCCCGCAAGAGGCCTCCAAGACGTCCCAAGAGCCCTCCAAGACGTCCTCCAGGAAGGCCCGAAAGGGTCAAAATGGCCTCCAGACGGCCAAGATGACCTTCGAGATGCCCACGTGTTCCCCAAAGGCTTTCCAAACCGATTCGGGGAACACATGGTCCGATAACTTGGCAGGTCTAGCCTCAACGTTCGGCCACACAGGCGCTACCAAAAAAGCAGGGGGCGGCGGTGATTCGCCGAAGGCGTCTTCGATACGCCGCCCCCTTATGATTTAACAAAGGGGTGCCTGGCGTGCCGAATGATATGGCTTTTGGTTTTGGTTCTTTTTCCCACAGAACTCCCCCTGGCGCTTCGGCCCGTCCCGCCGGCCACCCGGAAAGGATCTCAAAACGCGTCCGTCGTGCATCTGTTTCCTCCAGTTGGCCCAAGATGGCGTCCAAGACGGCCAAGATGGCCCAGGATGGTCTCCAAGACGTCTCCAAGACGGCCCAAGATGGCCTCCAAGACGGCTAAGATGGCCCCAAGATGCCTCCAAGAGGGCCCACAATGGCCTCAAGATGGCCTACGACGGCACAAGAGGCCCGCAAGAGGCCTCCAAGACGGCCCAAGAGCCCTCCAAGACGTCCTCCAGGAAGGCCCGAAAGGGCCAAAATCATTGATTTTTCCTAGGTGTTTGAAGGATTGTGGCATTTGCGCCTTGACGGCCCAAGACGGCCCAAGAGGCCCCCAAGATCGCCCAAGAGGCCCCCAATAGGGCCTCATGACGGCCCAAGTGGCCTCCAAAACGGCCCCAAGAGGGCCCCAAGACGGCCCAAGGCCTCCAACACGCCCAAGATGGCCTCCAAGACTCCCAAGATGCAAGACGGCCCCGAAGCGCCCCAAGAGGGCCCGAAGTCGGCCCAGAAAAGGTCACCAAGACGGCTTCCGACGGCGTCAGACGTGCCAGGAACCCACCAAGATGGCCGAAGTTGGCTCGAAGCTGGCCCTAGACGGCCCAAGAGGCCCCCAAGAGGGCCTCCAGGAAGGCCAGAAGAGGCCCAAAACCTTGATTTTCCTAAGGGTGTTGACGGATTTTGACATTTGCTTCTTCCGACGGCCCGAGACGGCCCAAGAGCCCCCGAAGATCGCCGAAACATTGCCCAAGAGGCCTCTAAGATGGCCCCAGAACGGCCCAAGAGGGCCCCAAGACAAGATGGCACAGAAGGCCTTTAAGACGCGCAAGATGGGCCTCCAAGAGGGCCCCAAGTCGGCCCATAGAGGCACCCCAAACGGCTTCCGACAGCGTCAGACCGACCAGGAGCCCACCAAGACGGCCGAACATGGCCCTAAGATGGCCCAAGACAGCCCAAGAGGCCTCCAAGAGGGCCTTCAGGAAGGCCCGAAAAGGCCAAAATCCTTGATTTCCCAATGGAATGTTTGAAAGATTGTGGCATTTGCTTTGTTTCTGCCTTCCGACGACCCGAGACGGCCCAAGTGCCCCCAAAGATCGCTCAAGCGGCCCAAGACACGGCCCCAAGAGGCCCCCAAGACGGCCCAAGAGGTCTCCAAGACGCTCAAGATGGCCTCCAAGACGGCCCAAGAGCCCTCCAAGACGTCCTCCAGGAAGGCCCGAAAGGGTCAAAATGGCCTCCAGACGGCCAAGATGACCTTCGAGATGCCCACGTGTTCCCCGAAGGCTTTCCAAACCGATTCGGGGAACACATGGTCCGATAGCTTGGCAGGTCTGTCCTCAACGTTCGGCCACACAGGCGCTTCCAAGAAAGCAGGGGGCGGCGGTGATTCGCCGAAGGCGTCTTCGATACGGCGGAGTCCTGGATCAGCTGCTCCAGCTCCTTGTTGCGCTTGCGGCGAGCGGCCCCCATGCCCACGATGAGCTGTCAGCCGGGGGGGGGCGCTGGGCGGGATGGTAAGACGGGGTGGATGGGAAAGGGATGGAAGAAAATCGTATGGTGGAAGTGGTTCAGGCAGGGGGAATGCAGTGGGTGCTCCAAGCGCGAGAGCGGGTCTGAATGATTGCAACTGCACGCAAACCTGATGCCTCACTCCGCACGGAAGCGGCAGGAGGCCGGCATGATAGCGACGTCGCGCGTGCTTTCTGGTCACTCGCTTCCCGGGGGGTCTCGGGGGAACACCTTGACTGGGAAGAGGCGGCGGGTGAGGGGGGGTGGACGCCTCCCCTGTGGGGCCGGAGCAGATGGGGTCCGCAGATCACAGCGCATGGCGAATGCATCGACGATGCCTCGGCAACGTCGGGATGGAGAAAAAGCTAGTTGGGGATCGCGCTGCAGCGTGGATCCGTCGCCGATGCAGCGTGGCCCTCGGACACCAAGAACTACGGCGCTATCTGCGAGGGCAAGAAATGAAGAGAGTGGGGAGGAGGCGGCGGATGGGGGATGGGGGCGTCCGAGAGGGCCCGTGGGACGTGCTGGAATGAGAAGAGGGGCCATGAGATCAGGAGAGATGCCTTGGCCGCGGCCATGATAACACCCCCCCTTGGTTAGACAAAAAACAAAAAAGGAAGACGAAGTCGAATGGGGAAGAGACATCCTTTGGACAACCGGAATGGGTACGGGAAAAATTGATAATTACGATGCCCAACAACAAATGCGTTGTCCAAAACCAACAGCGACCGCTGTTGCACAGGCGGCCTTCTGTCTCGAATGGACAAGGCCCGCAACGGCACCGACAACGAACTCTGTTCAAAATGACACAGAAATGCCGTCGGTCTTTGTACCCCTTCTTTCCGTACTCTCAACCCGGATAATAAGGATGCGCGGTAAGGATGCAAGGGCCTTGGAACGCCATGTTGAGGTTTTCCGCGCGGAGCGCGGCCGAATTCCGAAGGATGCAAGGGTACCCTGACGCGCCGCCATCCTTGCCGAACGTTGGCCAGCGAAAGTTGGCAAGGATGCGCCGAAGGGGCAAGGATGCAAGGGTACCCTGGCCAAATTGCCCCATTCTTGCTATCATGGTTGCCCCGACATTCGGATGCAGATAAATCAGGAATTCCCGAAAGCCGGCAGGTCCAGAGCAAGTATCGCGCGCCGCGGCAGCTCCAAAGCAAACCAGAACGCTCCGAGAGCATGACGGAACGCTCTGGAACGATCTCCCCTCATCCTCGGCCTGCCCGACCTGGCCATCACCCCCCCTCTTGACCGCTCCCAAGGGGAGTCCGGTCGCCCGAGATGGGTACGGCAAAATGGGTACGATGCCCAACCGCCAACGTTGTCGGAAAACAGCAGCGGCCGCTGTTGGGCAGGCGGCTTTTTTGCCTCGGATTGACAATGTCCGCGGCGAGGGCGACGGCGAATTCTGTTCAGCGTGGGCACAGGAACTGCTGTTGGTCTCATCACTCACTCTTTCCGTAACCATCTCGGTAGCCCCGAGGAAGGGATCGACCGTGCGCAAGAGTGACCCTGGGTAAGAGTGACCTTTGGTGCGCGGCTTTTTGGGGGCCGCGGGCGGGCCAAACACAAGCGCGCAAGACGCCACTGCCGCCTCGCGTTCAGCGATCGGGGGAACCCAGTCTGTGGGTCCGCACCGAAGGCCACTCCCGCGAGAGGCCACTCCCACGTCCAGTCGAGGGATGGCGGGGGGCCGCCCCCCGGGGGGCCTGCTCCATGTCGATCAGGCCGGTCTCCGGGTCGACGGCCGCAGCGTAGGTGGCCGCTTTCAGCAGCCGGATGGCTTCCTGACGGGGCGCGACAGGGACCACACCTGTGACCGAGGCAGGAAAACGCAAGGAGGAGGAGGAGGAGGAGGAGGAGGAGGAGGAGGAGGAGGAGTAGGATTGCGAAGGCCTTATGGCCAGTGCCGCCGACCCTGAAGGGGAACGACGGCAGCGGCGGCGGCGACCACGACGACGACGACGCGGACGTGGGGCGGATGGCTTCCTGCGGAGACGGGAGAGGGACCACACCTGTGACCGAGGCAGAAGACGCGAGGAAGAAGAATATGAGTAGGATTCTTATTTTTTGGACGACGGGAGAGGTTGCAAAATGGGGGCGGCCACACCATCTCTCGAGCGACCCGTGCACTCCGTGGCGTTACGTGCCTGGCAGACATGACCACATCTACAGACGCAAGAGTAAGCTGAAAGGAGGATGGGCAGGTGGCGGCATCCGAGCCCCACCCTCGCCAACCATCGATGCTCCTGAATTGATGGGAGGCGCGGACAGGCGGGCAAGGTTAGAATTTCACCGCGTGTTCGGCGAATTTCGAACCCTGCCCTCGCCCGCCGTCAATCGAATTGCCTGAATCGTTGATGAGCGAAGGTAGGGCTCGGAATTCCCCGCCAAGTGAGGAAAGTCGGAAATGGCGGAGGAGACCGGAGGAGGACGAGGAAAACAAGGAGGAGGAAGAGGATGAAGAAGCGGTGGTGGAGGATCGTGGGAAGCGGTGGAAGGGGGGATCCACATCTGCCGTTTCGGTGTGATAGATCGGTCACTCGTTTGGCTTCGCAGCAGCATTATAAGTCATGTGATCTGGCCGTGGCTCGCGCCTCCCGTCATCGAGATGCATGCGGTAGTCGAGCAAGGCCAGGGCGAGGGGACCGATGACGAGCATGAGGGAAGAGGGCCAATTCCCAAACTAACAACGCCCCAACTTCCCTCGACATCTTCCTCCGCCTCCTCCTCGCCCCTTTTCGCCCCCCCCCCGCCCCACCCCACACCCCCCGTCGCTCGAACCATACTTTACAACTACTCAATACGTGAAACAATCAATCACTACTCTCCCCTATCCCCTGACTATGTCCGTAAGACGTCCAACCCTCTCAGCGAACAACGTTCTACACTTTATCGTCGGCGCACATCAGAGTAATGCGCTGGCACAGGAGCTGTAGAGAGCGGGGAACCGTTGTAGCGAATTGCGGCGCATTGCGCAAACATGGAGGAAGACGGGGACGGCGGCCGAAACCGGGGAAGGGGAGCGAAGGCCGCTCAGGGAAACGGGTCGCACCCAGAGCGTGCGGCGCGGCAAGCCCCGCCGACAGGGTCTGCGGCGGCTGCTGCGCCGGGGCCCACCGTCGCCAGGGCGCAGTGCAGGTGCCGGGGCCAGCCTGGAGGCCCACGGCACGGTACAATCGGGGGCCTAAAACACCAGGCGGTGTCTGCGCGCTCCCCAAGCGAAGGCGCCGAGGGGGCGGCGAAAACGTATCGCCAAGAAGGGGCGTGACCAGCAATGCGCTGGGCCGGCGGCGGGCGGCGGGGAGGGGGTGGCGGGCGGCAAGACCAAGCCTGGCAACCCAGCTGGCGGCTGCAGGCAGCAGCTCGGCGCCATGGCGGTGCGCGGAGGGAAAGCGCGGGGGAACAGGCGGCAAGACCAGGGCCAGGATCCCGAATGCGAGGCGGCTGCATGCAGCAGCCCGGGCGCAGCAGCGGCGCGCGGAGGGAGAAGGGCGGCCCCCACTGCCTGGGGCGACAGGGTGGGCCAAACGGAAGGCCGGGGCCGCCGCTCGTCGCCAGGGTGGGCAACGCTCCGTGGCCAGGAAAAACTGTGGCTGACGCCGGCGGCCCCCGCTGCCCAAGTGGACAGGGTGTGCCAGGTCGGGGCGTCCAATCGGCGAGGGAAAATGCGGGGCTGTACTGGCGGAGGAAGCACCAGAGGAAAGTGGCGTCGTGCCGGCTGGGGTCGCGGTTGGCGCCGCCGCGCAGAGCGCAATAACTGATACAGGCCGCGCTGGGTTCACCGCCTGTTTGCTGCGTCCTTCTGACACGGGCCGCCAGGGCTCCCTTCGAATTGAGGAAATTGAGCAGGACGCGTGCTGGGACGTCCTCAGGACGCGCCCGCCCCTCACCCTGCTTCCTGTAATCCGGAGTGAACGAACCCCAGAGGGCGCGGGTGTCCGGCGACGTGGCCCAGGTGCCTGTAAAGAGGGGCAGGAGCTCACTCACGCCGTGCAGGCGGAGGCGCCTCCCCTCGCACACTGGCGCTGGGGCGGCCCTCGGCGCTAGAACCGCCAGCGTCCGTCGTCGCAGGTGCAGAGCGAAGAGCCTCCAGAGCGGGCGACGGGTTCCCGTTCTGATGTTTGTCGGCGGTGACCCAGTCGCCGGCTACCGCCTCGGGCCCGGCGGGCTGCAAGGACGGTCGCCAGGCACCGCCCCGACTGGATTGTGCTGCTGGGTTCCGCTGCTCCCGATTGTGCTGCTGGGTTCCGCATTCCGCCCCTGGCGACGAAGGGCATCCAGGACGCGCGCTGGCGACGCGGCCGGCGTCGGCGTCGCGGCGAGCGTCGGCGTCGCCGTCTGGGGCCAGGGCTGTCTGGATTCCGTTTGCCAGCCGCGGCGACGAGGGACGTTCACGGCGGGTTCGGCGTCGGCGACGTCGTCGGGGCCGTCGCCGGCGTCGGCGCCGGCGTCAGGGTCGGCGTCGGCGTCGGCGTCGGCGGCGTCGTCGTCGTCGTCGCCTGCGTCGTCGTCGGCGTCGGCGTCGGTGTCGGGATAGGCATCGGGGTCGTCGTCTTGGGCCAAGGCCGTCGCGGGGCCGTCTTCAAGGGCGCTGTCTCCGCCCCTCGGAGGACGGGGGCCGTCCGATCCGCTGTCGAGGGAGGGCAGGCGGACTGGGTGCGAGTAATTACTCGACGCGGATGGTCAGGCCCGCGCAATCCGTGCTGATGTTGCCGTCTGGCCAAAGGTCCCCCCTGGCAAGGCACCCCGACGGAGGGTCTTGGGCTGCCGCTCCGTCCGGTAGCGGGGGCACTGGGCCCGCAGGGCGGCGCGGCGCCGCTGCGCCGGGAGGAGGTCGCAAAAATTGCGGACAGAACCGCGCTCGCCCCCCTGGTCAACAGAGCCCCCTTCGCTCCGCGCTGGAGGGCAAGTCTGCGGGGGCGTGCCCGTCTCCCTCCACCTCATCTCCTGGTCCGGGGTCGCGCCCAACCGGCGCGTGGTCAGCGGTTTGAAGCTGCGCCTTCCCCGCGGGCGCCAGAGCCCACAGGGTGAGGTGCTCCGCGCCGTGGGGGCCCCTGTAACTAATCCCTTTCCACCTCCCCCTCCGTCCGTCCCAGGGCTTGCGGAGGCTTATTCGGCGCGTGGCCAAGCTGGGTCTGCGCCTCCCCCGCAGGCGGCGGAGTCCGCGGGGGGGGGCACTCCGCGCCGCGGGCGTCCGAGGTAGGAGGAGTCGGCTTGCGGGGGGGGTCGGGCGCGCGGGAGGCGGGCGGAGGCGTCGCCGGCGCCCCGCGCCCCCGGGGGGCTCCATGTTGGATTTTCCAAGCTGCGCCAAGCGCGCGCGTTACTTGCCCGCGCGCTCACATTTGCGCAAGCGCATCCTAAGAAACAATGATTTGGATCGAAACCGGGCGACAACGGGCATGGGGCGCCCGTCAAGGCTGCTTCTGGGAGCGATTGCTGCTGGCTCGACACGCGCGATATGCATGTGACGACTTTTGGAAAACGAGCGCTGCGCCGTCCAATCCAACGCGGCAATGGCGCGGCCCGGGGCGCGCGGCCGCCGCGGCACACGGCGGTCGACGTGACCGCATGGGGCGCGCGATCGGCTGCGCGGCATTGGCGGGCCATTCGGCCGACGCTGCCGGGTCGCCCTCAAACAGCCCGCCAGGAATACGCAAATGCGCAATGCGCCAGCGCGCCGCCAGGATATCGCCTTGAAAACAACCTGTTCACTCTGAACGCCGACTGAGCGCCTCGCTGAACCAGCGAAGTCGCGCGGCGCGCCCGCGCCGCGGACCCGCCGCAATGAACTCGCGGGAAAAAGGCCTCTCTCCATGGGTTCTGGCACCGATTTTAGCCTACTTCCCCGTTCTGGCCGATTCTGGTTTCATCGCCGATTCCTCCTTTGATTCCGTATTGATTCCGTACTGATTCTTTTGATTCCGCCAGAATCAGGGGTCGCAGTTGTGCCGATACTGTTTTGATTCTGTACTGATTCCGTGCTGATTCCTTTGATTCCCCTGTGCCCCGGGGACCACCAAGCCGCGGCCCGAGCTCCCGCCTCGGCGGCATGGTTTTTCCAGGAGCGCGGAAGAGTTTTGAAGGGGGGGGTGGGGCGGGAGGGGGGGCGGAGCGATTTTTGGGGCGCATCGGGCGGCCGAGCCGCAGATTTCCAGACCCAGTGCGCACGCCCAACATGGCAGGCGCGGGCGCGCGCGCGAGTTCTCGACCGTCGGCGCATCTGTAAGTTCATGCCCCGCCCCGCGCGCGGGAATGGAAACTTGCGCTGCGGTTTCCAATTGAACGCGCGGCCGTCGCAACTGCATCGCGTTGCTCAGCGCGCGCGAGCAGCATGGGGGGCTTTGCGTTCTCGCATGAGAAGTGCGCGGAACCGAACCGATCGGTCGGCGGCGCCCGCTCCTGCGCCCAGCGCGAGGCCATCGCGTCAGCGCGGGGGGCTACAGGGGCCTGGGCCGTCGCCCTGGGGCGCGGGCACAGCGCGAGGCCCGCGCGGGTCTCTCGCGCCAAACATGCGCAACGAGGTCGGCCCGCCCGCCGGCTGGCCCTCGCGGGCGACGCGACGCCGGCGCCGACTGCGAGGCCGACTGGGCCCGGAGGATTCCTGAGGGCCCCGGGAAGGGGCAGCGGGCCGCGATGGAATCGGCGCGGTCGTTGGCGCCCCCCCCGCGCCCGGCCCCCCTGCAAGCCGACTCCTCCTAGTCCGAGGGGCCCGTGCACTTCTCCATCCATCTCCCCTACAGACAAGTGTGGGGTCGCGCCTAACCGGCGCATGGTCAGCGCGTGG